AAGTTATTACGATAGTTAAAGGCACGCTCCGCGATTAGGCGCGCTTGCCTCTTCCATCCCGGGGGTAGTAGGCAGGCGGACAAGTGTTGTTGTCGCACCCCTTTTGCCGCTTGAAAGTGCGCGACAAAGGCACAAGCAGCTCGTCCGACCTGCAACTCACACCTTCGTCCGCAAGCCCCACCCTCCGCTGTCCGTTGCCACGTGGCGCTGCTTGAAAAGCGCGGGCGCATTTGAGGCAGCGGTCCCACCCGGATCGTAGTTGGTCTCGTGTGGCACCTTGGAGCAACTGGTAGTAGGCTCCGCGAAACTCGTCCAACGCGCCTTTTCTCTATCCAAGGTGGAATGTTGCTGAAATAGGGGAGGTTTCTGTACGGGGCGTAATCTGTGATTTCGTTTGCTTTCCTTCTCTTTTATAGACCACCTCCCACCTCTAGTATCATGACTGAACGCTTTTAGACACCTATTTTATCCCGAATCTTGCCTTTAATTTAATATCTGCGATAGATGGTGAACAGAAATGTTCAATAACCAAACGGCGTACTGGACAATAACATAGCGTTAAGGCATTAAAGGATGAAATCAATCAAGGATTCCTTGTTGATTGATTCATCCGGGATCCATCACGCATTCGACGTTCATTCGGTATCGCAGTCACTTTTGGGTGCGTGCTTGACCAATGTTACGGTGAATTGCGCGGTCCAGCGGGTGCTTGAGACTGCGTTTTCACTTTACTGAACGGCCTTCTGCCTGATCGTGGACGTCGTACGATTGCTTAGTGGATGCGATTCATTCCACAAGTTGCATGCTTGCTTTGCGTCGCCAGGACGTTTTTCATAGTCCAAGAGCGATGTGGTTCTCGGCACTTACTAGGAGCTGCAACCAAACCAAAATTGGAGTCATTCAATGGATTTGTTCGAAGGCTGTCAATGTAATATCGCAAGCAGATAGGTGAAGGCAAGGGTCCGTCAAGTGCTTGAGAAGGACCATGTGGGTGTCAGCCGCGTGCGAAATACAGTGGAAACTTTCCATCCTTGGTTTCGGCTATATTGCAGTCTGCAAGGTTGGATTCATCAATGGTAGGAAGAGCTTCCGGCTGCTAAGGAAGAACCAAAAAATTCTGAAATCTGCTGCCAGTTTGTATCTTGTAGTGCCTTTCGCAGTTCTACCTACTGGTACTAGCTGGTATGATAAGGCAACGAATTTTACCGCGTCTATGGTTGAACTCTGACTTTTGAAGACGGCGGTTAGGTTGAAAGGGTAAATCGCTGGTTAAGTTCTACTTCATAAACAGCGGGTGCCTCTACTTGACCGTTCTTGTCCTTCCTCCTTCCGTTTACCGAGTCATGGGAAAAGCTTTGGCAGGTGGGTGTGGGCGCGCCATTCGTCGATGCATGTGCCAGGTCGCGTTTTCTGAGCTTCTGCTTCCGTTTATAGTAGGCGTTTTTCTCTTGTTGGATATCCAATTTGTCAAGCCCATTGTCCTAGGTAATGTGAAAGGCAGAACAATAGTCTTAACACCATTAGTAAAATAACGAGCCAGTGTTTCAAAAAGAGCAAAATTATAGAATAACTGTCATCGTGAATAATGGAAATCCATTCAGCTGAGCACTGAGCGGACGTATGTTGCTGAATTGGAATCGCTTGTCGAGCACTACGTGGAGCCGTTTCATTCGCCTGATCTTCAACAAGGTGTCGCGTTACCGATACGTGGTCGAAGTGATTTGGTGTTTGGTAAGCAATTCAGTTGTTTTGTAGTCCCTCACTTATCCCTCCGTTTTTGAAAGGTGCCGCCATTGGGTAGAACGTTTGGACATATAGTGACCAAATTAATGAAGGGAATTCAGATTTCTGTTTGGGTCTGAATCGTTTCGAAATCTGTCCAAACATTTCTTGCTAAGATGCATTACGCTACATGTATTTGTAGCGTTCCATCACGAAAAGCTATCACTTTCAGGCAACCTTCGCGAACTTCTCCATTTCCATTCACGATTTCTCTTACCGGAATTGTTAGCAAATGAAAATTCGTCAGCTGGAATTTGTCGTGTGTTCATTCAGCACGCGAATAGGTGTGTTCTTTAGAAGTTTTCAAAGGTACTGGTCTATGTGTAAGACACGTAGTTTTCTATACATGGGCTCTTCTGCCTTGAATTTCCGAACGATGAAGGCTGAGTACAGGATCAGCACAGCGTCTGGTGATGTCAAACTTGAGCGGTTACATTTTATGATCTTGGGCGTGGCGGGTCGTATATACCAAAATGTCAAACTGGTCGCCTTCTGGAAGGCATCGCAAAGGGGAATTTCTTTGGAGAAATTGCATAAATGCTGGTGTAGTTTCCGGAAATATTGAAAACTTTGGCAATTTTCGTCATATTATCAGTAACTACCCATTCACTCCTAACTCGACAAATTTGGATATTTGGGGTGGAGTTGGAAGGGCACCACGTGGTGCAAGCTTGAATGTTGTACTTGAACTAACGCCCTGGGAGGGGGTTGGGGGCAGGGTCAACCCTATGTTGCTACAAGTAGCAACGGGGGGTCGTATTTTGATGAGTTTGTAGAGGGGGGGTCGTACTTGCTTCGGTTGTAAGAAGTTGCATGTGATGAGTGGGGAGCGGCGCGGGAGAAAATTTGCCGTTTCAGCGCGCGTATATACCCCCCTAGAAAATGGAGCAGTTGAAATATGGGTAAAATACATGGAAATTGTAGGGAAATGTAGGGAATTTTTGCGGTTTTATGGTAAGTATATACCCCCCCCCCCCCCGCTCGACGGTAATTTTTTGGGGTAAAAATTGTTTTGAAAGGGGGTCGTATGAAACATTTCATGAGGGAGGGGGGTCGTAAAAACTTTTTGAAAAGTAGCAACGATAGGACCGACCCTGGTTGGGGGCTCATTGCGGCAGGTTATTGAAGTCCAAACCAACTGGTGACTTGTTATAGTGGTGTAGGCCACCATCCCCTGCTCAACTTTCCTCATACGGTAGTTTCCGCAGCGTTGGCACCAAAATGAAAACATGTCGCATTCTGTAAAAACATTCTTATAACGTCCGCTACATAAGCGAGAAAGAACTTTGGAAGTACAAAAAGGGAAAATGATTCTGAACCTGCTCATCGGCCGGTGGTTGGCTATAGCTTACTTTTACAATCATAACTGCGTTATAATATGTCCAAGATCCCGAGGGGTTATCTGTGTTGAGCTTACCGAGTCCGCATATTTCGTCTGTTATTGCTAGCGGAAGGCCAAATATTCAGGATTGAGGAGTGTTGTTGTACTGTAGTTCCAATACGCGCGTTGTTACGGTAAATTTGCCCATGCTCCGTATATCTTACTTTGAGTGATCTAGAGTAAGAAACTTTTATCTACATTAACCACACACTTAGGTGAAACTCCAGTTCGGTGGGGCCACTCCATTTTTTCTCCAATACTCAAGATAAGGATTAGAGGGCTCACGACACGTAATCGACTCATTTAAAGTAGACTTCTGATAAATATTGGTGTAATGGGTGAGAAACCCTGAAACGTTTTCACATTTCCGCCTGCCATGACCCAAGGGAACGGTCCTGGACCAGGAGAAAGGACACCTCCGCAAAGGGCTAAGGGTGCAGGAGCTCCAGGGTGGATCACCTGTGCAGAAAAGTGGATGGGATGTGGGCAGGTAGTGTGGAATGTAGGACATCCACCGGTCCTTATCAAAAGTACGCTCGAAATGAGTCGTTCACTTATTATCTTATCCGTAGTGTTCGATAGCCCAAAGAACTGCTCTCTAGTACTACGGATAAGATAGCAATGGAGTGGCCCCCCCGAACTGGAGTTTCACCTCGCACAAAACTTCTCACTTGTCGACGTGTGAATCGATGTTGTGCCACTTCGTTTTTGCACTACGGGACCCCCTCGTTTTTGCTTAATATATTTGGCGATTTTTCCGTTGCTCCAAAATGAGCAAAAAACAATGTGTTCATAGTGATGAAAACAAGAAGGGTTAGCGACTAATGATGTGAAAATGTGAAAAGTGTACACAGTAAACGCACAACGGTGGTCGTCGTTAGGTTTAGGAAAAGGTATAATTTCGGAAAATTCAAAATTCAGTTACTGTTATTTTGTGGTGGAGGAAAGCTGCAATCATGCTTGGCTGCGTTCATAGTTCGCGACTCCGGAGATTAGGATACGCGACAATGAAAAACATATGTATTGACGGGGAGATTAGGATAGTAGTAGAAGGATAGTGCGCTGACAAGATTAGATATGTATTGATCTATTCGCTTGAAGTCGCCCAAATCTACTACTCTCCAGCGATTTCAATCGATACGTATCCAATCTTGTCAGCGCGCAATCTCCTACTCTACTACTATCCTAATCTCCTGAGGCTCGAGCTATGAACGCGGCCTACACGGTAATAAGTGTTAAGCAATGAATCGTTTCAGATTTCTCTCATTGTATCACGCCTATTGTCAGAACAAGGCCGCCAGTGATGCTATACGCAAGGAATTTTGTGAAATGTCATCATTTTTCGCGGTATGATCTTACCGTTGTTTTATATTCATTTTGTATTTTCTGTATATAAATTCGTATTATTGCATGTTTCAGGATTGTCAGCGACGTGCTGGCCATCCCTTGCCGTTGGGAGCTTATTTGCTGAAGCCTGTTCAAAGGATCACCAAATATCAGTTGCTTCTGCGAGAACTTGAGCGACACTGTCGACCGGAGGTTTGCTGAGATACTTTTAGTTCCAGGACTCTGTAGAATTTTTTATCCCCTTAATTTTGCTGAGTTTAGTCGTAACGGTGCTTCCTTATGGAACCGTGTCCTACTTCGGGAATGCAATGGCTTTTTTTTTCAGGTACGATCTGAAGTAGCTGCTGCGTTGTCGACAATGTTGGAACTTCTCGCACAGATCAACGCTGCCATCCATCAATTGCACATTTCTGGGTTTAATGTGAGTGCTATCGTTTTTCTAAGGGTTTTTTTTAAAGAGGGTTGTTGTCGTAACAAGCGATTTGTAGGGTGACCTGCGCCTTTTGGGACCACTTCGATTGCAATCGGAATGTGACGTCTTCCAGTTCAGTCGTAAGAAGAAGGGAAAGACGGCTCGTGCTCAACGACGGTGAGTAATGACAACAGCTCTGTTTTCGTTCCAAGTAGTCTTTCTCTGACAGAAGTTTGCGGCGAATTTGGTGATAATCAGTAGTGGCGCCAGCCGGCGCCAAATGGCGCCAATTTGGCGCCAGCGCCAAAAATGGATGTCATATTCGTGATCAGGACCCTCGATAACCCCCATAGCAGAAGTTTCAGCGAAAATTATTTTTTGACCCATCTCGGTCCCTCTGGGGTTGTAATAGTGCAACAGTGCATGGATTAAGTCTT